CCGGCTCTTGCTACTCGGCAGCTCAAGGGTCCTTTGTTATGCCTCTGGCAAACACCTTCGTTTATCACAGACCTTGTCCGAACAGATTACTTTTCAACACTCTGCGGCCGAACACATACATTTACTCACTAACTTTAATTCTTGAACTAGGAATATATGTCAGTCCCTACAGACCTTGGGCTGGGGGGCACGGGGAGGACAAGCTGGGGAGGGAAGTAAGAGCTTGGGGGGTGGCGACACGTCCAGACGCGAGGCCAGGAGATCTGGAGCTGGAGGGCTTCCCTGCAGGGAGGAGCCAGCCTGAGCTGGGGGTGAGTGATGATTGGCAACCAGGAAGGTGTGACTTGTGAAGAAAGAAGGAGGGCCAGGCGGCAGGGCAAAACTGAGGGCGTATTTTCAAAGTAATTCATCGCTGCGAGCTTAGAAGACCAAGGAACAATCTCTTCATAGCTGCAGGCCCTTCATAGCTGACCTCATCTGAGGCCCTACGGCGTTGATTAATAGGGTTATCCCCATATTAGGGGGTGCAACCAAACCCCAGGGGGAGAGGTATGAGGCTTTCCCTTAGATCACCAACAAGCACAATTGGAAAGTGTTGTTGGAGGCTCTAAACCAGAGCTCCTGATCAAGACCAGAGCCATATGGGGACAAACAGGGATGGTGGGAGGCCACAACCACCAGAAGCTTCGTTTCCTTTAGGAGTGAACATGTCAGAATGAGCAGGCAAAAAAACTGCAGCGATTCAGAGGCAAGAAGGAGGCCCTAAAGTCCAAAGCCAGCCAAGATCCGAGGATGTCTCTGAAGCTAAGGAACCAGGAAAAATCCACAATCCCCGTCTCCTGAGAGACAGGTACAGGGTGGGTTCCCCCTCGTGTCTGGAGTCTAGGTCTACCCAGAATAAGGATCCTAAGATCCACGGGACAGGGAGGGCATAGTAGTTCTTGGAAGGAGTTACCATCCTCAATCTTGTTGGACAGGCTAACTGCCACAATCGTGCTTTCAGAGCATTTTATGGATGGATGAAGCTAAGACCCAAAGGGGAAAGAGGATGAAAATTAAGATAAATAATTTAAAGGATAATTAGAATCAGCAATTTACACACCGGCACGCACACATGGTCAATACACACCACACCCCCAAAGCACACCGAGTTTCCCCACTAAGAAGGGTTTAGGGGGACCCCTGGCAGCAGCTGTGGGCATCATCAGAGAGGGAACCGAAGGCTTTGGTCTCTGAGCATACGGCAGGCAGGGTCAGCATGGTGTAGACGCCACAGGTCAGCCTGAAGTACTTGGAGGCCAGGCCCAGCCCAGAGGTACCCCTTCACTCGCCCGTACCCCACACCCTCACGCAGGGCTTGGGTGGAGACAGTGCCTGGGGGTGCGGGGCCTCACTGGTTCAGTGTTCATGGATCCTCCAGGAATCAAGAGGGTGCCCTGCCACCCTTCCTGGCCTGAGACCTGTGCCTTTTGTGTATAAACCGCTGACATCTGTTAAATTCACCATATTTTCCTGCAGTATCTCCTCATCTTCTGCCCTTGGGCAATGCTGGGGTCTTAGAAGTGGGTCAGACCTTAGCCTCAGACCAGCAGCCAGGCTGGGGAAGGTGCTTCACAGGATGAGGGCTGAGGCCGGAGTTACGGTGGCACCCTCAGAGTGGGAGGACCGAGCCACTGCCCGAGGAAGTCAGGCTAGGACGTCGCAGCAGGAGGTCCGGGGAGCAGTTGGGGTGGCCTCTCGGGGTGCATGGGGAGGACCAGAGGGAGAAGGCAGGAGTGCAGGCTGCACCCAGGGCTTGCTCCAGTTGCTTTATTCTCTGCTCAAAAGGTTTCCCTTTAAGATTTGGTACCTCAGCTCTAGAGCCATTTCAACGTTCCTTTTTTCTTTGCCCTGTTCCACAGACCCCCTTCCAGGAAAAAGCAAGATAATGATCCAGCTAAGCTAAGCCTGTGGAAAGTACACCATGCCTGGAGTTTCCATTATCCCTGGAATCAACAAAGTCCCCCCAGTCCGTCGAGCCCCAGAAACCTGTGGGTCCATACTAAACCTGGAGCCGAGGTGATGTCGCTCAAAAAGCCCTCTCAACCCTCCCTGCCCTTCACCTCGTTCTCCGCTGGAAAAAGGGCTGCTCTTGGGCCTGGTTTTAGAAACTGGAAGGCAAAGTCTGTGAGTTGCGGTTCGGATTAGCCAGCAGAAAACACGCCTCGCCCAGGGATGGTGTCAAAGGAAGAAAAACGCATGTGAGACCGTGAAATGGTCCCTCTGGGAAGCTGCTTTTGACCCCACTGTTGTGCCGGTGCCTTGGACGCACCTCAGGACACCAGGCTTTGAAGCCGTCACACTCGATGGAACCCCAGCTCAATGCTTGTGGCCGTGTGCCTCTGGACAAGCCTTTCACACCTCCCAAACGCAGTGTCTTCACAAGGACGTGCACCTGCGTGGGGCGAGGGTGAGGGAAAAGGCCACTGCACGGGCTCCGAACGCCGAGACGGGCACCAGGGCTGCTGTTTCTCTAGGACCTTATCCTGATGCCCTTAGGATGTACGTTCCACAAGAGCAGGGACCTTGTCTGTCTTGTTTTCTATTTGTGTCACCAGCATCTGGAATGATGCCTCAAATATATAAAAGCTCTCGAAAATGTTTGACAAATAATTGATTGAGTGAATGGATTATAAGCTGTTGTAAGGTTTGAAGCAAGAAAGCAGGAGTGACCAGATATATAGAGAAGATCTTCATTCTTCTCTCTCTCTCTGTCTGTCTCTGTCTGGTCTTTCTGTCTGTCTCTCTCTCTGTCTCTCTCTCCCTCTCTCTCCATATACAGAAGAGCTAAGACTGGAAGCAAAGACCCTAATCAGGAGGCTGTTGCAGTATTTCCAGGCCAGGTTGAGAGGCAGGCATGCAGGGAATGAGAATGGGATTCTGACGTCAGACTGGACCATGGCTGTGTCTTGTTCTCTCAGAATGGACGACAGCCTCCCTGCCCACTCCAGGGGCCAGTAGTTTCTAGAGGGTGGACAGAGGGTCGTTTCTTGGGTAGCACTAGTGAGCGCAGACGGTGATCTCGCAGCACCAGGGAGATGGTCGTCTTGTACTCGGGGTAGACGTTTCTATCAGCCCCCACAAGGATAAGCTCCTCTTGCATGCAGTTTGCATTTCGCAGAGATATGAGCACCCACTATGTGCTGGATAATCAGCAGAACAGGCAAGACGCTGTCCTGTCTCCATGGAGTCGTGGTCTACACAGGTGTGCAGACAAGGAAGAAACACACACAGATTTATAGTGTAAAATGTTGGTGAGTGCTAGGAAGAAAAAGGACAGGATGTGAGATAAAGCACAGGACAGGGACCTAGTGTGGATTACAGAATCGGAGAAGGGCTCTCAGAGCAAGCGGCACTGTGTTGAGAGCTATGGACTATTAGGAGCTGGCCAGAAAGCCAGAAACGCACATTCCAGGCTCTGACTTGGGAGAGGTTTGGCGGGTTCAAGAGCTGGAGCTGGTGGTGGCTGGAGCAGAGTGAAGACCAGCTCCTGTGGGGCCAGAACTTGCAGGGCTCAGGGGTCTGGTGAGAAGTTTGGGTTTTGCCCTCACTGGCAGGGGGTTATTTCCGCTTATGCTTTGTGATTTTGACAAGTGGACTCATATTCGGTGTGGCTTTATCTATGAGAATCGTGTGCAGCAAAGGTTTTGAGTTGAGGATAGAAGCCTCTGTAATAGGTTTGGCGTTTGCTTCTCTAAGGCAACCAGTTCTCCGGGAGGGACAGGCGACAGGGGGACACCGGGCGGGGGAGGGGTGGCCGTGGTAGATCTGGGAAAGGCCAGGCAGGTGAGATGGAGGAGAGGGATGGGAGAGGGGATGAGGACAGGGTTGGGGTAGTTCAGAGATGGGTCCGGAGGGAAGGGAGACCTGGGGCTCCCAGGTGCAGCTTGCTTTGCTGGTGACAGCGGCCTCCCGTGCAGGACGGAACCGGAGGCCCTGGAGTCGAGCCCCGGGCGTGTCGCTCCTTGATCCCTGGCTCGCCTGCTCATGGCGCTGGGTTGACGGAGGAAAGTCCCTTAACTGCGACTCCCTCGGTGTCAGAGGGCTGGCAGGGCCTAAAACCACCTACTCAAGGAAAACGATTCTCCCAACATCCCGGCCGGGGCTGAGAGCCGGGGGGCGCCCGCAGCGGCGGTTGCGGGACCGGCTGGCGCGCGGGGCGCCGCGAACCGTCGGCCGAGAGGTGAGGACGGGCCGGGCCCTGCCGCGCAGGCACCGCCATTCCTGCGTGGGTCCCTCCGCCCGGCTCACCCCCAGTCGTTACATCAGTCGACTCCTCTCCCTGCAAAAGTGGGTTCGCCAGTTTCTATACCAGTAAATCAGCCCGTCGGTCACCTGGGACACCCGGCAGAAATTCGGGAGGATGTTTGGTTTTCAAGGAAATCATGCGGAGGAAGGCCCAGGCTGGACTCCTCTGAACGCGAAACCGGGAGGTACATTTCAAAGAGGCCCCAATCTTGTAGGGGGTGGGAAAAGAGGTTGCCTTGAGCCAGCCAGCCCTTTTACTTGGTAACAACAACCCCTGGTTGCACCAAGACCTGCCGTGGAAGGTTAGACTAGGAAGAGATTAGACTTTTAGAGTCTAAAGGACCCTTGGATGTTCTGCAGTAAACCCCACCCATTTTACAGATGGGGAGAACGAGGGGGAACCAGGGAGGGGACAGGACGTGCCCAGAGTCACCCAGGGAGTTGCCAGCAAAGCCCCAGCGGGCACCAGCCCAGAGCTCCTCCCAACCTTCTGTTTGATGTTGAAAATTGGAGGAGGAGGAGGAAGAGAGAGGCGAGGAGGAAGAGGAGGAGGAGGAAGGATTTTTACAGTGGGGGTGGGGGGAGCACAGAAGTGGGGTACAATGGAGAGAAAGGACTGGTTATCTGGAATCCTAGGGAGCATCTTCCTGGCGTGAGAACGAGGGAGAAAGTCCTTATGAGAAACGGAAACCAGAACGGAGAAGCAGAGGGCTGGTTCCGGAACCAGACATCACTGGGAAGAGATAATAGTCAAGAGTAGTCCCAGGGGACCCAGGCAGGTGACGAGAATGATAAACACTTAACTCAGTGCTTATTTTGTGCTGGGATCTGTTCTGAGAACTTTACATGCATTAACTCATTTAATGCTCCCCCAAAATTCTAGGAGATGGGTGCTGTTGTAATCTATAGTTATAAGTGAGAAAACCAGGGAAACCCAGAGAGGGGAAGCAACTTGCCCACAGTCGCACAGCTGGCAAGGTGGGGCCGGGCTTAAACGCGGGCTGGCCGACTCCAGAGCCTGCAGCCGTAACCACTGGGCTCTGAGCAGCAGGGAGGGCAGGGATTTCTCTCTTACCCAAGAGTAGGAAAATATCTCCAAGATTGGAGGTTCAAGTAAGTCATGATAATAACAACATCATTACCATTTATTGATTACTATGTGCCACTGTAATAATTTTTGTGTTTCTGTATATTAATATATTATTTAATCCCTACAATAATCAGTTGAGGTAGGCTCTGTTCTGATCTCCAGTTTGCAGGTGAGGAAACCATGGCCCAGCTCGTACAGGGGTGAACAGTGATTAAACCTGGGAGACGTGGTGGCGCCCATACCCTTAACCACTACGCTGGAGTGAAGGGCTTTGCGGGCCCTTCAGAAGAGGCCCTGTCTACCCTGTCCACTATTGACCTAAAAATCATGAAATCCATAAATTTGGAAAGGAGAGCTTTATTTCATAAAAAGGGTTGCAACCCGCAGGCCAGGAAGCAGAGCCTTTGGCTGGGACCCAAAGCAGGCGCCTCCCTGGAGCAAGGGTGGGACAGGAGTTTCATGCTAAATGGATTGGCCAAATACACATGTTCAATAGGTTATAGGAGGGGTTATGAATATTCATGAAGGATGGTCATTTGCATGCATGGTGAGCCAACATGTTATATACATCCATATGTCTGATGGTTACTTTGGGGTGAACGCTGAACATTTAAATGTGTTAACATTAAGCTCTATGCAGAAAAAGGTGAGGCAAAGGACACAGGCACCTTGTGCGCAGCCTCTGTAAACCAGCCACAACCAGTCTGTGGAAAGGAGAACTTTATCATGATCCTATGGCATGGTATGCGTGGTGAAGCCAGTCGGCTGCCTCGTGGAAACCACAAGAAGAGAGGGGAGTCCGGCTGTGACGTCCAGTGATTAGCTGAAGTCAGTGACAGAGCAGGGCCATCACTGCTCTCCTGGGCCGGTTTCTGTTCAACTCTCAGGAAATAACCTGGCAAATGTCAGCGAGTAACCGGGCACACTGAGGTGTGGCTGGCCTCCCATGGTCTGGAAACGTAAGGTTTCTCTGGGGTCTCCTTGGCCAAAAGGGGTCTGTTCAATCTTTTGCGGGTGCTTAGGATTTTATTTTTATTTTGCACCACCAATCGTAGTCCGGGAGTGGTGACAGCTGAGGAAAACAGAAATCTAGATAGTTTGTGGCTCGTGAAAGTGGAGAAAGAAGAGGAAAGGCCCCAGAGAAGTGGAAATCCATGACCAACAAAAGAGGGTCTCCCATCCCCAGGAGCGGAGGGAAAACAATGTTCGCAGGCTGTCCAAGCAGATGGGCCCGGGGCACCTCATCAAATTGCCACCCATTTCAAAGTAGAGCAAGAAGGAAAGGATGATTACCTATTCACTAAAGACTGAATCGAAAGGGAAGGGCCTCGGACAGCCTTTTCATACTTACTGAGATCCAGAGTTGGTACAGAACCGCAACAGAGTGTTTCCCATTCTGGGGGACTCGGGAGAGCTCTGCTAGGCTCGGTCGGGGTGAAGGGTGATGCCCAGGCAACATGAGCAAGAACCCCAAAGGATAGGGACTTATAATCATTACAGTCCTGATCCTGGCCAGAGCTGCCAACACCCATGGAATTTCCTAAGTGACAAGAAAGATCAAGGTAATAGGAATGCCTCTCATTATCCATAACAAGCCCCTTTTAACCACACCTGAGTTTTATGTTAATGAGGTGACTTTCAGAAAGCCCTAATAATGGGGACTGGTTGCTAGGGAAACCAACCTTGCAATTGGAGGGTTAGAACTTTTAGCTCCACGGGGCCTGACCACGGAAGAGGGGCTGAAGGTTGAGTTGATCCCCACTGGCCACTGATTTAAATAACCATGCCTACATGATGAAGCCTCCATAGAAAGCCAAAAGGACGGGGTTGGAGAGCTTCCAGTTGCTGAACACAGGAGGGTGGCCCTCCTGGAGAGGGCACGGGCCCTGTCCCCTCCCCCACACCGTGCCTTAGGTGTCGCTTCCATGTGGCTGTTAGTGAGTGGGATCGTTTGTAACAAACCGGTAACCTAGTAGGTAAATTGTTTCCCTCAGTTTTGTGAGCCATCCTAGCAAGTTATCAAACCCCAGAGGGGAGCATGAGAACCTCTACCCTGTGACCACTCTGGACAGAAGTTGGGGGTAAGCTGGGGACCTGCCACTTGTGGTCAGCGTGGGAAGAGGGGGGCAGTCTTGTGGGACTGAGCCCTTAACCTGTGGGGTTTGCACTAACTGCAGTTAATCTCAGAATTAAATCGGAAGGTAGAACATAAAATTGGTGTCCATGGAGAACTGGGGAATTGCTTGGGGTGGGAGAAACCCCCCACATCTGGGCACAGAAGTTCTGTGTTGAGTGTGAGTAGTAGAGGAGTAAACACACAGTTCAGCTTTTCCTATACAGGAGGCTAATCCGAATAGTAGAGCCCAGGACCACGTGCCTTCCCCAGCCCCAAGCCCCGGGACGCTCCTTAGACTAGCTCTTGGACTCCGCTCCCATCGCATTTCTTCCTGCCTTGAATTCAGACGTTTTGTTTGCAGTGGGAGTGGCCGTCTCGCAACCCCGAGGTGACAAGCAAGAGGGAAGGACCAGGAGAAGCAACAGCCCCTGGGCCTGTGGCTGCCAACCTCCCAGCTTCTGATTACGTGAGAAAAATACATCCCTATTTGTTTAATCCATTAAAAGCAGTGTTATTTGGTGATTGTAGCCAAAATTATTTTAAACTGCCACAAGCCCTAAAAACATCTAAGATCAAGAAAAATAGCAACATCAGAAGAGAGAAAAAGAAATCTGGAGGGAGGGGGCCTGCTTCCTTCCCCTTAGGATGTAACAAGCTGCAGGAGAGCATCCCTGCCACCCTAACAATAACAGAAAGCCCAGTCATCTGCAGGATAATGAGTCTTACAGAGTTAGCAGGGAGCTGAGGCTGCCAGGCCACAGAGCTTGCTGAGCTTCCGACAGTGATAAGCCCCTCCAAGGAGAGCAGGAACCCAGCAACTGTTTCATCCTTGGCAGGACAAGGGAGGAAGAGGAGATCATCATAAAAGAAGACAAGAAAAAGATTCAGTTGTGATGAATTCTTAAAGACTGACTATTGGCTCGGCACGGTGGCTCACACCTGTAATCCCAGCACTCTGGGAGGCCAAGGCGGGCGGATTGCTCGAGGTCAGGAGTTTGAGATCAGCCTGAGCAAGAGCGAGACCCCGTCTTTACTATAAATAGAAAGAAATTAATTGGCCAACTAATATATATAGAAAAAATTAGCCGGGCATGGTGGCGCATGCCTGTAGTCCCAGCTACTCGGGAGGCTGAGGCAGGAGGATTGCTTGAGCCCAGGAGTTTGAGGTTGCTGTGAGCTAGGCTGACACCACGGCACTCACTCTAGCCTGGGCAACAAAGTGAGACTCTGTCTCAAAAAAAAAAATTAAACAAAAACAAAAACAAAAAAGACTGACTATGACCCAGCAGGACAGTTTAGCAGGACAGTTTTAGAATAACTGAGAGTCCTGGATGCAAAGATTGTCCACGCTGACAGGCTCTTTCCACTGGCCTCCACCAGGTGATCAAGGGAAAGACTGAGGGCCAGGCTGGGGGCTGGGGAAAGCAGCCCCTCCTCCCCCCATGGTGACCTGCATGAAAGCCTAGCTCCTTCCTCGACCTTCCTTTCAAACGAAACAGAAGCTTACACCTCTGGGCATAGGGCAGGAAACCCTCCTGCTGCCAGGGTCTAAGCGGAGATCCACAGCTGCTCAGGAGGAGCAGAAGCAAAATCCGTCTGCCTTTGGGGGAGGAATGGGCAACATTTCCACACCCAGGGCTTATGCAAAGACCCCGCTGGTTCTGGAGAAGTGGGGGGAAACGCTACCCTGACCAAGAACCCCAGAGATAGAAGGCAGAGGAGGCTAAGAATGCCGAGAAAGCCTGGCCTCTGCTGGGCAGACACCGATGCCCTCCTAAGTCTGAGGCTGAACCGGCAGGCAGAAAGGAGCCCCTCCCCGCCCGCCCCGAGCCTGGCGACAGCAGCCTGTTGCTGGCGGAAGGACCAGAGCATGAACGGAGCAACCCACCGGGCCAGGTACACAGGGATTGCTACAAGAGGAAGGTGGAGCATGAATATAAAAAATAAACCCTTCAGCTCTCCCCAGCCCCACACTAAGAACAAAATAGAAGCAGCCCCCTCCTGGAGGAATTTAAGTCTATGATACGGTGAAAATAACTAACTCAACAACAAAATTCATACCTTGATCACCTACTGGTTAGATTAACTCAACCTCCCATAAGGAGGCCCAAAGAAGAAGTGTGCCTTTTTCTGAGCATGAATACTATTTACCTCAGTCTTCACTCTTCTTCTTCACCTAATATCTGTCATTTAATCAAAATTTGAGATAAATAGTAAAAAACAAAAACAATAAAACACCCATTTTCCAGAGATAAGTCAATAGACCCAGAGCTGGAGACGATTCAGTTTTTGGAACTATAGTATCTATGAAAAAGGTACAACTAATGTCATGCTTAATGATGAAAGGCTAATTGTTCCCATCTAAGACCAGAAACGAGGCAAGGATGTATACAGGCACCCCTATATTCAGCATTGCGCAAGAGGTCTTTGCCAGTGTGGTAATGCAAGAAAAAGAAATAAATGGCATACAGACTCTAAAAGAAGAAATAAAACTGTCCTTATTCACAGATAACATGATTTTTCTACATAGAAAATCCCAAAGAATCTGCAAAAAAGCTACTAGAATTGGTGAGTAAGTTCAGAAGGGTCGAGATACCAACTGGATTTCTATATGCTAGCAAACGAAATAGGGGTTGGTGGAAATGTTCTGTATCTTGGCTGAGATGGTGATTAAATATGCACATTCATTTGTCAACATATGTGGAACTGCACCCATAAAATGGATGCCTTTTATTAGACATAAACTGCACCTCCATAAGGATGAGTTTTTTTTTTGTTTTTTGTTTTTTTTTTTTTTGAGACAGAGTCTCGCTTTATTGCCTAGGCTAGAGTGAGTGCCATGGCATCAGCCTAGCTCACAGCAACCTCAATCTCCTGGGCTCAAGCAATCCTTCTGCCTCAGCCTCCCGAGTAGCTGGGACTACAGGCATGCGCCACCATGCCCGGCTAATTTTATATATACATATATATATTAGTTAGCCAATTAATTTCTTTCTATTTATAGTAGAGACGGGGTCTCGCTCTTGCTCAGGCTGGTTTCGAACTCCTGACCTCAAGCAATCCGCCCAGCTCGGCCTCCCAGAGAGCTAGGATTACAGGCGTGAGCCACCACACCCGGCCATAAGGATGAGTTTTAAAAATCTTTTCAGAGCCCCAGCAGACTTTGGTTTGCGCTGCATGGATCAGAACTGTGTCACGTGGCCACCCCCACTGCAAGGGAAGCTAGGGAAGCTAGTATTCGTGATTTCCTCCCTAGTGGCACCAGCAAGGGACAGCATGGCTGGGAGTGTCCCCTGGGTGAGCCGGAAAGCCGTGCTGAGCACAGAGAATGGCTGAGGCTCCAACTCAGGCGACCCAATTCCAAGTGAACCCTTTTCACAAACCAGGAAAAAATTGTGCTTGTTCACCACCCCCCTACCCCCCAGTGAATATTTATCAGACAAGGACCCTTCTCAGCACTGTGGAGGACACAAAAATCTATTCGATGTAGGGCCTTCCCTGAAGGAGTTCACTCTTGAATAGATTTCCTGGAAAGACATCCCATCAGTTCCCCAACTTGCATGACAGCCACGTGCAGAGGAACCTGGCAGTGGGCTGTGCTGTGGTAGCAGCTCCCCAAGGCGCCGGGGAGCCAGGCTCCCTGTGCTGCTCTCAGCAACGCCCCCAAACCTCTGACTTTCATCGGTATGGTTATCTCATGATCGCCAGGTGGCTGCTCCACCTTCATAATCACATCCGCCTTCCAGGGAGGAAGGAGAAAGCAGTGGTGCTGCCAGTATCAGAAAAGCAGAACTCTCCAAACTCTCTCGCCAATAGCCTCTTATATTTGGTATTTTAAGTAGACGAGTCTCTCAGCACATTTGCTTAATAATAAATCCAGCAAAGTCAAAGGTTTTAGTTCTGCATTGTTCATGTGGAAGAAGAGAAGAGTGCATTTCCTGCAGACAGGGATAGAACTTAGGAAAACAGAGGTGTCAGGGACAATGTTGTTATTACCAGATCAAGAAATCAACTAGTAAGACAACCCATCAGAATTTCGTTTTGGAGATCGTTTTCATGAGACAGGGAATAATTTCTAACATCTTCAGAGTCTCATAAGTCCCCTTTGTTTAAATTGTTCTCCCAAGGGCAGCTTGAACATTCATAAAAAACTACATTGCAGACTAGGACAGTAATAGGGTATTGGGCAGGTGGGAGGGGGGAGGGGGGCGGGTATATACATACATAATGAGTGAGATGTGCACCATCTGGGGGATGGTCATGATGGAGACTCAGACTTTTGGGGGGAGGGGGGGAAATGGGCATTTATTGAAACCTTAAAATCTGTACCCCCATAATATGCCAAAAAAAAAAAAACTACATTGCAGAGCAGAACATAAATGATATGCTCACAAACATTCTGAGTTTTGCACAGCATCAAAGGGGATTCCTTGAACCATGTGATGACACAGAACAATATCTTCTGATTTACTGCTTCAGGGGAAGGAAACATTTGCTTCTACTCTTTTCTGGTACTCACGTACTTTATCATGAAAACTTACTTTTTTATAGACCAGGCCCTGGAATTCTGTTAGCTAGTATTATATGCAAAAAGGAAAAAAGCCTTCAGAGCTCAATTATGATGGCAAAAAAAAAAAGGCATGGAGGCTGAATAGGCCTTTATTTGCTGATAGTAACTTGGTAGAATTTTTATTCTACTTGGCTCACCGGCCAGGACTGTGCCACGTGGCCACCCCATACAGATGTAAAAGACATACAGATATTTTTTTTCCCCCAAAGTTGGGACTTGATCGCCTGAACAAATCTGCAATACTGAGGAGGAAGAGGAGGGTGGACATCGGGCAGGCAGCTCTCAGGGGCCGCCGGGGACGCTGTCCTAGAAGAGACAGGCAGACAGGGTGTGGAAGCCGGTCTGAGGGGGGAGGCTCCTTCCTGGTTGTGCAGGCCCGGGAAGGAACTCCCAGGAGAAGGTGACCCTTGACCTGGACTTGGAAGGAGGGGAGGGTTTGGATGTGGCGGAGGACAGACGTGCAGAAGGACGCCACAAAAAGCGAGGTGGCCTGAGTCATTCAGGGGTAGGATGTGGGGAGTGTCTGTAGAAATGGTACCTTTCTCTTTTTGCCATGGAAAGAGTGACAGGGGTTGGGGGCAGGGGGCAGGGGAGAAAGAAAGCATGGGGCAAAATCATGGAGGCCTTCGAGTGTGAGGCGGGGGAGTTTGGAGTTGATGCCATCAGCCACAGAAACATTTGTTTTTCAACTACCCTCCTAAGCATACGTGGCCTTCTCTCCACCCCCCGTAGCTAAGGTTCCAGCCAGCCTTCGTCATCTTTCTCCTGGACCGTTGCCGCCTCCTCAGTGCAGACCCACGGAGACCTGCAGAGCACCCGAGCCTGTGCCCCGTGGTTCAAAACCTTTCCGTGATTTCCGTGACTTCCCCACTGACCTGGGGGGGAGCCCAGGCCCCCGAACCTGACCAGAGCTCAGGTTCGTGCTCTACCACCTTATGTAAGCCCCTTCGGTTTGCTCACCTGGTCCATGGGGCGTGCCCCTTCCACACAGGGAAATACAGTGACGGGCCTAAAGAACAGTCGCAGACAGTCAACACTGCAGAGTAGGGGCAAGAACCGTGGACCAAGATTCATTAGAATGCAACTTACTAATCAACAAGAGGATTTCTGATTTTCCATTGTATCACCAGTGTTCAATAAATATAAATCTTTGTAAAAAAAGTGAAGTAAATGGAAATGGAAGTAAATGGAAAAACAAGCACCAGATATATTCTCCAGCAAACTGGTATTAACTGAGCAGCACCTAAGTGGACACATAGGTACTACAGCGTAACTAGGGATTGGGGGAGGTGGGAGGAGGGGGGCGGGTATATACATACATAACGAGTGATATGCGCACCATCTGGGGGATGGTCATGCTGGAGACTCAGACTTGTGGGGGGAGGGGGAAAGGGCATTTATTGAAACCTTAAAATCTGTACCCATAATATGCCAAAAAAAAAGGATTAAATTATCAAAAAAAAAAAAAAGAAAGAAAAAAAAACACCCAACAATACCAATCCCAGGCGCCATAGATTATTGGGAGGGTGGGGGTTTCCAAGGAGCTAATGGGTGGGGAGGCGCTTTGCAACCTGGAAACACCGGGCAGCAGGGAAGTGTCCGTGAGGGCTCCTTGTCCCCAGCTCCTCCTCTCTCCTGTAGACCTGACTCAAGATCCCGAGCTCCGCATCCCAGAGATTCTTGCGGCTGGGAAGCCTGTGACCTTGAACTGTGCCATCAAAGGTACCTGCAGAGAAACCGAAGCCTCTTCCTCTCCCGGAAAGGGCCGCCATGTCCACCCCAGGCGTCCCCAGCAGCTCCCCTTCCTCGGCGCCGCACCTCACCCCGAAGCCCAAAGCCCAAGGCACCACCCTCAGATGTCACTTGAACTTCTAGCTGACGTCACCAGAGGCAGAATGGACAAGCGCCAAGTGGACTGTGAGTGCTGGCGGGCACAGGGGAGAAATGATGGGCCCAAGAGAAAGGCCTGGGTCGCGGCGGGAAGAAGGCTGGGGAGCAGTCATGTCCTCCCCGACCTCTGGGGGCTGAGAGGCCAGGGATAAGAGCTGACCCAGAGTCAAAGGCAGAGGAGGAGAACTGCTCGGAGTCCCCTCTGGACTTCCAGAAAGGCTTCCTGAAGCTCCCCGTGAACAGCAAATGCGGAGAAGGCTGGGTCTCGGAGGAGGTGGGGAGGGAGGTCAGGATGCCTCGCTGACTCCCGACCCTCCCTCCCTCAGCACCTGCCAGGCTGTTCGACTCCTCTTGCTCCTTGGAGCAGACGCTGCAGTGCAGCTGCTCCTTCCAGGGGGTCCCCACGCCCTCCGTGCAGTGGTGGATGGGCAGTGCCCTCGTGGACGTGGACAGCATGGACAACGTCCGCCGGGTGACCACCACCACGCGTGCCCCATGGGCCAACAGCACCATCAGCCTCCTCGGGGAGCCAGAAATGGTCATGAGACTTCGCTGTGAGGGGGAGAACCGATACGGAATCCATACTTCCAGGGTCTTCCTGATACCAGGCGAGCATGCAGGGGCCTGGTGATGGGGTGAGGACGGGCACGGCCAGGGGAAAAAGTAGAGCTGTAGCCCAGACTTCAAAGCCTCCAGAGAAAAGCCACTCTCCCTGCCCTGATTCCAGATGAGAACTCTGCTTCCAGCGTGTTCAGGAAAGGCCTGCTCCAGGGCGTCGTGTACGGAGCCATCGCAGTCGCACTGTTGCTCTTCTTCCTCGTCCTCCTTGTGTGAGTATCGAAGTTCAGATTCTTCCACAAGCCCTTCCCAACGCCTGCTACATTCATCAATGTTATTTCCTTTCTCGTACTTTCTTCCACTTTATTTTGCTTTGTCTACCTTCTTCAAATGGACTCTTATATCATCAACTTTCTGCCATTTTTCTTTTCTAATATTTGTGTTTAAGGCTATAAACTTCCCTCTAAGCACGACTTTAGCTGCATCTCACAATTTTAATATAAGTCATTTTATTATCATTTGGTTAAATAATATTTCAAATTTTCATCGTGATTTTTGACCCATGAGGTTTTCTAAAAGGCAGATCAATATTTTCCAATAGTCCTCTTTTTCTTATTTCTAGCTTAAATCCAAGAAGGTCAGAAAATATGCTATGCATAATTTCAAATCTTTATATTATTTATGGCATATTTTTTGCTTAGTTTTTATAAATATTTCATGTGGGCTTGAAAAGAATGTGTATTCTATACTTGTTGAATGAAGTATATATGTGTGTGTGTGTATACATATATACACACACACATATATTCTTTAAATTGAATTTGTGAATCATGCTATTTAACTCTCTATTTACACTGATTTATTTGCCTCCTTGCTCTAATGATAAGAGAATGTGTTTTAAAATATCCCACAATGATTGTGGATTTGTCTGTTTCTTCTTGAAATTCTGTCAGTTTTTGTTTTACATATCTTGAGGTATGTCATTAGTTTCAAGTCTGTTTAAAAATGTGTATATCTTTCTGATATCAGACGCAGTTTTTCTTCTTCATAGTCCATTTTTTCAGGAATTAGTATAGCTCTGCTAGATTTTTTTTTTTCTTATCACATCTGCTTTTAATCTGAGACTAAGATTCAGATATATGTTTTATAAACAGCATATAATTTGACTTTTTTCAGTCTGGTAATCTTTTCATTGGATTTACTTAATATAATTACTATTGCATCTGGATTTGAATATGCCATATAGTTTGTTTCTTATGTTTTTTTCTTTCTCTTTTCTTGCCTTCTTTTGGATTGATTATTTTTATAATCCATTATTTTTCCTATTAGTTAAAAATTAGGTGATTAAATATTTTCTTTATATGTTTTTACTGATTACCCAGAAATTACAACATGTGTACTTCATTTATCAAAGTCCAAATTAATTAAAACCTCTATTCTCCTTACAGATAATAGAAAGATCTCGAATTAGTTTAACTCTGTTTTCCCTCCTCCCAACTCCCATTCTATTGACATGCTCTAGGCCAGGGGTCTTCAAACTTTTTTAAACAGGGGGCCAGTTCACTGTCCCTCAGACCGTTGGAGGGCTGGACTATAGTTAAAAAAAAAACCTATGAACAAATTCCTATGCCCACTACACATATCTTAAAGTAAAAAAACAAAAGGGCAAAACCACCCGCATGTGGCCTGTGGATCGTAGTTAGAGCAGGCCTGCCTGCTCTATGGCATTTTATCAGTTCTACTGTGCAAGTTATTTCACATTCTGTCACCTCTGAAACTGAGATATGTCCTACACTCGATGGTCATTTACGGTTGCTGTTGGTCCCACGTGGCTGTCCTAACACAGTTGTCTTTGCCTGCACGTGAACGACCCCAGTCGTGGCTGTTCATCTTGGGTTGAGCGTCCCAAACTGAAAATCTGACATCCAAAATGTTTCAAAATCCAAACGTCTTTGAGCGCTGACACGACACTCTAAGAAAATGCTCATTGGAACATTTTGGGTTTTGCATTTTGGGATTTGGGATGCCCAGCTGGTAAGTATAATATAAAATATTCCACAATCCAAAAACGCTTCTGGGTCCCAAGCATTTCAGATCAGGGATACTCAACCTGTATCACTTTAATTGAGTTATGTGTTTACTGATGTATGTTTAATTTATTGCCTTTTCAAACATTTTCAAAAGGATTACATTATTAGATGGTCCTGCGTGCCAGGCCCCGTGGGGCAGGCAAGGGGGAGACCAGCGGCAATGTCAGGAAGTGCCCGGAGGAGAGCAGGGAGCTGGGAGGGAGGGAGGGCGTGGGGGGCAGGCTTTAGGTGTCTGCTCTGAGACCCAAAGGAGCACACGGGGGCGGGCCAGACAGAACCACAGCTCCCGGAGGGGCAGAGGTTTGGTGAGTGCAAGAGCCCAGCAGGGCCAGCGTGGCTGGAGCTCAGGGCCAGGGCCCGGACTGGGCAAAGCCTCAATGGCTCTGGTGACAAATCTGGGTTTTGTCCTCACTCATGGAAGGTTGTTTCCTCATGTGCTTTGTCACTTTGGGAGGTGAGTTCCTCTTCAGTGGGACTCTACCTGTGAGCCTTATGTGGCCAGTGTGGTGGGTGGGGCCTTCCTAAACGGGGGTTTTGTGTGAGTTGCCCAAGAGCCTAGCAAACCTGAAGCAGTTTGCCTTCCTTGCTCACCCTGGGGCTCTCTGATCCAAGTCTCTGTGAATGGAGGCCCATGGCCTCAAATTCTAAAAAGAAAAAAGTTTGGCTGGGCGCGGTGGTTCACACCTATAATCCTAGCACTCTGGGAGGCTGAGGCAGGAGGATCCCTTGAGCTCAGGAGTTCCAGGTTGCTGTGAGCTAGGCTGACACCACAGGATTCTACCCGAGGCAACAGAGCAAGACTGTGTCTCAAAAAAACAAAAATTCTTTTCAACCCAGAGCCCAAGCGTAAATAGATACGCTTCCTTGTCATTCTCTTAGCCAATGATGATATTGTTTATTCTAGTGTCCCTTGATATGGGGGTGTCAGATCCAACTCCCCACCTGCTGTGGACCCAAAGCCTTGTGGTCCCTTGTCACTGGACCATGTACCAAATCCCTGATTAGTATGGAGAGAAAAACCCCCCTTCTCACTCGACCCAGCAAAGTGCAGCCAGCCCCTACCCTGTGTGTGCACCCCTGATTCCATCCTGTGCTCCCTCACATCCCAGCCCTACCCTGTGTGTGCACCCCTGATTCCATACCGTGCTCCTTCACATCTCAGCCCCCACCCTGTGTGCACCCCTGATTCCATCCTGTGCTCCCTCACATCCCAGCCCTACCCTGTGTGTGCACCCGATTCCATACCGTGCTCCTTCACATCTCAGCCTCCACCCTGTGTGTGCACCCCTGATTCCATACCGTGCTCCTTCACATCTCAGCCCCCACCCTGTGTGTGCACCCGATTCCATACCGTGCTCCTTCACATCTCAGCCTCCACCCTGTGTGTGCACCCCTGATTCCATCCTGTGCTCCCTCACATCCCAGCCCCCACCCCGTGTGTGCTCCCCTGATTCCATCCTGTGCTCCCTCACATCCCAGCCCCTACCCTGTGTGTGCTCCCCTGATTCCATCCTGTGCTCCCTCACATCCCAGCCCCTACCCTGTGTGTGTACCCCTGATTCCATCCTGTGCTCCCTCACATCCCAGCCTCCACCCCATGTGTACACCCCCGATTCTACCCTGTGCTCCCTCACATCCCAGCCCCTACCCTGTGTGTGCACCCCTGATTCCGTCCTGTGCTCCCTCACATCCCACCCCCACCCTGTGTGTGCACCCCGGATTCCATCCTGTGCTCCCTCACATCCCAGCCCTGTCTCCGCTGGGTGATGCTGTCATCAGCATTGGGGGCATTTTTGTGGAGGGAAGGTTTTCAGACAGGAAATGGGGGT